TTAATTACAGGTTTTGATGGGGAGGCTTTTGGAAGGTATTAAATGAATATTTCAGTTTTGAGTTTAATTGTTTTTATATAGTTTTGAATCTCACATGATGTGTTCTTGATTTGTTCTTTTTTTTGGCCATTTATAGACTTGCAATGATCTTTCTATATTTGTTAGATCATCGATTTTGAACCAGTTATTATCGGTGAGTGTGTTATTATTTTTTTAAATGATTATTCCTTTTTCACCATTTAGAGTAATAGATTATTTGTAGTCTATGCAAGAACTTGGTACAACACATATTGGTTACATCTATGATTTCACATTTTCATTGGAGTAATACAGGTTCTATAACTTTTTCTATATGTTTATTATTCTTCAATAATTCCAAGTTCCTATGTACTTTTTCTTTTTCCCAATAACTAAGGGTAAATTTGTAAAATATCCATTTGATTTACTCTTTTTATTACAACTTACTTTATAATTTCTTGCATTTAAGCTTCTTTCAAAATTATTTTCCTAAGTTTATTTGGTTTTTGGGTTTACAGTCGCCATTGGGTGCTAGTAGTAATAGACATGCAAGCAACATGTTATTACCTTGATTCTCTAAGGCCACTTGATGTTGATACAGACTTGAAGTGGATGATTGAAGCGTAAGTAATATAAATTATTTTCTTTGATATGTTTCTTCCAATTTTTTGTAGTGTTTTGTCTTTGCACGCAAGACAAAGTGGATCAAAGGAAAAGGCAAATGTCAACATGATAAATGTTATTTTTATCACAAACTACAACCTTAACTTCAATTGGATTTGGCTAATATATTATTGTTTTATACTGGTTTATTTTATAGTTGTATAGTGTCCATTCAGCCTAGTTACACAGAATGCGGGTATTATGTTCCTAAGTTCATAAGTGCATGAAAACAGTTGTTGATGAAGATAATGAAGTGTTGAATAATGAAGTAAGTAAATCCATTAGTTAATTGATGGAATTGAAGTATTTTAGAATATGTACATATAATCTACATATATAATTGCTTTAAAAGTTTAATGCTAATATATTATTTTTTGTCTCATTTTTGGGGGAAGAATGAATATACAGATGTCGAGCTTGATAGGGTGCATGAAAAATGGGATACTTATGTCATAAACTTTATTTTCAAGTGATATGTATATGATACTAATTTTTTGATGAATTTGGAAAGTATTTTTGAATTTGACACTAGTTCATGTAATTTAGACAATAAATTTGTAATTTAGTTTGATTAAGATTTGGTAGGATATATATATATATATATATATATATATATATATATATATATATATATATATATATATATATAAGACCTGTTCCATGTATTATTTAATTTATCTAATTTTTAGGGTTTTGTGTATGGACTCGGCGAGTTGAGGAGATCCAACTTGGCGAGTAGAAGTTATTATGAGGACACAAGTTTTCAATCCTACTCGACGAGTTAGAAGGCCTCGACTCGCCGAGTAGGCGCTGTAAAGGAAAATCCTAATTTTTAGGGTTTTCACCCTATTTAAGGAACATAATCCGCCTCTTATGGTCTCCTTCACCACCCTATTTACGATAGAAAACCCTAGTTCGACCTTGCACCTTCTTGAGTGAGAGCAAGAGCTTTTGTGAGTAATGTCGTGTGTTTGTGACGTATTTTAGAGCTTCAATAAGAAGGAGCGATGAGAGAAGTAGTAGATCCGATATCTACACATTATTGGCCACCATCTTGAGGTATAAAGTCGTTACCTTGATCTTTAGTTTCTTAGATCCCTTTTATTGGAAGTAAATGGCCATTTTTGGTGCAAAATGGTGTCATAATCGTATCTGGACTTATCACAAGGATATGGTTCCAGATCTGGACCTCTCTAGGTCCCCAATGGCATAAATTTGCTCAGTTTATCTAGCTTAGGCCCTATCCATGCACAAAAACCTTGTAGGAAGCTTAGTTTTGATGTTTTAGCCTTAGGAGGCCTTGCATGCACATAAAGATTGCAACTTTACGTGGTATTTGCACTAAGAGAAGTTGGATTTGAAGATTGGGACCTTAGACCCCACTAAAAAGGACTGGACACAAAAGGCCTGAAGGAACACGTCGAGTCCATTGGTCGACTCGACGAGTCGGGGTAGGGTTTACTCGTTTTCAAGTTTCTGAATGAGCGTAGTAAAGGATTAGATTATTGGTCTGAGTGAGCTTTTGGTTTTCCAGACATTGGATGAACTTGACGAGTTGCTTAGGTGACTCGGTGAGTTAACTCAGGATTTAGTGGAATGGAATCGGGAGGAACTCATCAATTGAGTTGTCGGATGTATTCAACGAGTTGAGGTCAACATGGACTGTTGACCTAGACTATTGACTTTGACTTTAACTAGGGTTGAGTTTAAGGGTATTATGGGATTATGTTAAGTTAATCACACGTTGATTATAGGTAGTTAAGGGGGAGCGGTGCCTGGGATATATCCAATCTTGGCTTGTCAGTTCAACATTCGAGAGGTTTGTCTCCTCACCATACCAATAGGTCTAAGGCACCAAGGCTGGTCTATTTTCTAGTATGTGGTACACTAGCTGTGATAGAGATATATGGTATGATAGTTAGCTATATGTTGAGTTGCATGCTAGGTATTATATTACACTTGTAGGGAAGACCATGGGGGCCCATAGTACTCGGATACAACCATGTCGGGGAGCCTATGGTAGTTGTATGAAAGAACATGTGGGGGAGCCCACGACTTGTCAGTTAATGACCATAGGGGAGCCCATGACACTTTGGTTTAAGACCATGTGAGGGAGCCCATGATATCTTTATATGTTTGTATGCATGGATTATGTGATATATGTAGCTTTTATAGCTAATATGATATACGTTATGTGGATATGTGTGGGGTATGCTCTGGGGAACTCACTAAGCATTAGCTTACAGTTTGTGGATTTGTTTCAGGTACATCCAAGCCTAAGGGCAAAAGAAAGGCTTGATGGTGTGGCGTGCACTCTCTCTCTCTCTCTCTCTCTCTGTCCCTCTCTCTCTCAGGCGCTTTTATGGGACACTTTGATGATTTGGAATAAAACTTGCAATAGATATGACTTTTGAAAATAATTGTACTTAGGATTTCATTGTTTGTGGAAAATATTTTGGTTAATCAAAAATGAAAAATTTCTCTTAAAAATTCGGTCGTTACATAAAAAATGTAAAACCATGGCATATAAAGTATGTCGTAAAACTATGTCAAAAATCATGTTGTACAGGACATATGTCGTAATTTGAAGTCGTAAATGTCTGTCATAATTTCAAAAATGTTACGAATTATGACATTCAAAGTCAATTTTAAATGTATGTCAAAACTAAATGTCATGTACGTACGTCATAATTATTGGTCATAAAGGTCTGTCGTAAATTTTATGACAAGCCAAATGTCTATCATTTTCTTTTATGACATGACTTTCAATGACAAACATTTGTCTGTCATATATAGGCATTTACGACAGACATTGTCCATCAAGGAAAACCTCTTTTCTAGTAGTGGGTCATAGCTAGAGCCTTTGGAATGAATATTAACATTGATCTTTTCATTCTTGTTTTTATATTTTACAATTAAATATATTTGTTTATTCATTCGTTGATATTTCTTTCATTGATTAAGTTTGTGTTGTTATTTCAGGATGATGAGAGCATAAGGAGATGGAAAGAGCAATGACTTAGAGGTCTTAATGTCACATAAGTTCAAGGTAATTAATTTTGTGTATATGCAGATCAATATCTCATATGATGTCTCATAAGAAATTTTTGTAATTAAACAAACATGAGTTATATACTGCTATTATCTATAAAAAAAATGCAAGTACATTGCTACCATGGGTATTGAAATGTTAGTACATTGTTATTATTAGTACACATAAAGTAACATATATATATATATATATATATATATATATATATATATGTTGTTCTTATTATTTTTTAGGTGTGGGAATTAAATGAACAAGTTAAAGGGCCTGGAGAGATGCAACTAAAAATACAAAGAAGACAAAAATAACTTAAATAGCAATTGGCGGGTTTTATAACATCATTTAACAACCTCTAAGTAATCCAAATGGGTTTTAGTTTTTTTTATTTAAACTAGGTTGTTAAACATTTATTAGATTTTATATGTACTTATATTAGGTATTTTTAATGTATTAGACAATTTGTATAGTATATTTATTAATTTAAGTTGTTTAACTTACATGATGTTAATTAATAAATATTTGACATATAAATGATTTTAAGTTGTTCAATATGGTAATGATAAAAAAAAACAGTGTGATTAAGTGTCAATAATAGCCTCCGTTTAATCTATTACATGTCACTAAAAGTCAATAATAGTCATGACAAATGAACAAAACGTGGGACTAAAAGTAGTTTATACACTACTTGAAAAACAACATTTTGCGATACGTAATGTGTGTCATAAAACACTCAGACAACACGAAATGCATGTCAAAGGAGGCCCTGTCATAACGAAATACGACATGCTTTTGTGCGTCGTCTATTTACGACATGCATTTACGACGCTCATTTACGACATGTAATGTGTATCAAGGAAGGCCTTGTTATAAAGGAAGACGACACGCATTTTCATGTCATAACCTTACGATGCCAATTCAGGACACGCATTTCATATCATTAAAGCCCCTGTCATAAATGAAGATGACACACATTTTTGTGTGTCATAATTTTAAATGTTTTAAAAATTATATATTTTTGGTAGATTTACTAATTCTCAAATTAAATAACACTGTAAAAGTATCATAATACAAAATAAAATACCATAAACAAGAAAGATAATTTATTGCACTAATATGTAAAATGAAAATAATATTATACTCCTCAAAGATCAACTCTTTTTGGGATTGTTCTAACAAGTTCCACCTTTCTGTTATAAATTGAGCTTCCAACTTTGATATACTCCTCAAGTGGAACAAGTCGGAAATCTATCTGATACAAAGTTGCTTGAAGCTAATCAACAACTTCATTGACATTAGGTGAAGTGGCACTCATTCCAACAATTTGAAGACCATGAGTGGGGTTACTTTTCCCACAGCTTAACCCTGAACTTTCTCTTTTTGAAAACTCCACCCTGCCTTCACCAGCTCCATACCAAAGCTTTGTCAACATAAGTTCCAACAGATACCCCCTGTTTTGATCTCCAACCTGCCAAACAATGAACGATAAAAAGAACTTATTGTTTGCATCATAATGTTCAAAGATAGCAAATTCAAATTACCATGTGAACTTCATGAATTACTATGATCCCAACATCTGAAAAACGCCCGTCTTCCAGTAATCTATTGAGTAGAGAGTTTGTCTTCTTAGTTTGTAAACATCAACAGATGTATCTTTAGGGAGCGTTCCTCCACCTTGGCTTCCATAGTAACTACATACATGCTTGTCAAGTGGTTCTAGTAAGGCTTCAAAATGTTATGCCTGCATCACTTACATACAAATAACAAACTTCAAGAACATAAATACAAATTCTCAACTGATGTTCTGCTTGCATTACTTACATACAAATAATGAACTTCAAGAACATAAATACAAATTCTCAACTAATAAGATGCGGAAATACTCGAACCTTCTCTGTGCAAATGGACACATATGGAAGAACAAGAATTGACATTTTTTCTTGTAGACAACACTCTGTGTAACATCAAGATTTTTGTAGCAAAACTTTTCCTAGCACTATGCCAGAAAAGACAAATGGCTATGAAAATTTGATTAAGTAGAAAAGATTTAGCACAAACTTAAGATAAGTACCATGTAGATGCACAATACACAAGGTTTCTTTTTTGTAACACCCTTTCCACCTGAAGGCAGTCCACCTGGAAAACAGAAACTCAATTAATAAAATAAAATTGATTTAAAAGTTAAAGAAACTAGAAAATACAAATAGTTAAAAAAGACTAGAGAAGTACCTGCCATGGATACAATTTTGATATTCCTTGTTTTTTAAATGTTATGCATAACTCAGAAGGGATCCAATTGCTAATATCCAAACAATCATTAAGAGGCATGGAACTTGAGGTTATGAAAAAGATTCCATCCTACATACAAAATAAGAATATACATACACTCTCTCCTTTTGTATCAATTCCGATGCAACACGTCCGCCCAGATATTTGTATGTATCTTATCCCATCTAAAAAATAACGACCAATACAAGGTTGTCTGAAGATAAATCTTCTTGTAGGAAGATTCACTCTAGCTGCTATTGTTGATGTGGCAGTTAACACATGTACTAGACCCTTACGATAACATTTTTCAACAATTTCTCTTTCTTCAATCTATAAGTAATAATCAGAAATAAAATTTCTTGAAAGCTTCAAAATCTAATCTAAGTCACAATGGGATGGAGTGTACAGTATTAGTATACATACTGTAAGACTAGCATGGTGATAGTCAACACCTGAAGAAAGTGTTTCAGATAATACAAGATATAATCCTGCTGGAGATTTTCGTAATGCATCAATGGCAGAAGCAATATCAGGATATTCACTTTCACCATTGAAGGTGTTGAATGGGAATTGTTTAAGGTACTTGGAAGCATGTCTAGCATTTGACTCCTATCCTTTATGACTGGAGCAAAAGATTAACACTAAATTGCCCTCTTGAACAACATAATACAATATGCAATCTTATTTTAGTAAATGCAAATATAAAATGTAAGAAATTATATATCAAACAATGTACCTTATTTCATAATTCTATGGTATGATTAGGATCTTTACCACCAATATCGGATCTTTTTGGGATTTTTTTACAAGTTCCATCTTTTGTTATAAATTGAGTTTTCGACTTTGATATACTCTTTAAGTGGAACATGTTGAAAATCTTCCTGGTATAAAGTTATCTGAAAAACTAATTTTATTTCAATGGCAAGATAAAGGTAACCAAACTTCAACTAGACATAAAGCATTCATCAACTTAATAAGGTAGTGTTTTTAGATTCTTGATATGCATGACTAATCTTTTCTACAACTTAATTGAAGCCAATAAGCAACAGCACTGACATTAGGCAAGGTGGCACTCATCCCAACAATTTAAAGATCATGAGTGGGGTCAACACTGACATTGGGAAAAGTGGCACTCGATTGTGCAAACAACTACAGAGGTATCTTTAGGAAGTGTGCAACCACTTTGGCTTTCATAAAAACTATGAACACTCACACCAATTGGTATAAGCAACGCTTAAAGATGTGATGCATGCATCACTTAAAGACAAATAATCAGGTTTGAGGACATACATATTACATATTAAAATATAGCTCTCAATAAATACAATGCACAAGTAAGGAAATAGTCCACCGTCTCTGTATAAATGGACAAATTGGGAAGTACAAGAATTGCCATACAATGCCTGCATCACTTAGACCCATTTTTTAAAACAATTTCATTACTATATATGATAATTAAAAAGGCTATGTAGAGAATCTACCTACATTTGCAATACGAACCATAGAAGTGACTCCAACTTCAAAAATAGAAAGGTCAAATTAGTCATTTTGGGATAAATTTTATTTCCAACATGTCAAATAGGTAGAGAATGTACCTACATTTCCAATATGAACCATAGAAGTGACTCCATCTGCAAAAAGTAAAGCAGGTAGGAAGAGAGAACCATAAAGAATCCAAAGTGAATAAGATGAGGTGGCAAGCAAGCAAAATAAGAAAAGGTAGGACATCATAATCATACTAGTTGATGTATTCAGAAGATTTGATAGATAACTGAATGACATTGTTTTGTATAGATGATCAAATTTGCATTATGCATGTTAACAACATCTAGATGTGGAGCAAAGTGACAGTTCACAAAACATATAATCTGCCTATAGATTCTCATCCTCAATCCAACTCCTCCCTGTTGAAACTAGTAAATTTATAAGTTGTTGTTATTACATAGCTAAAAGTAAATGAGAATTTTTAAAAGTGGTTACCTTATTACCAATAGCATTTCCAGATCCACATTGAACTGCTGCCAACTCAACATCTCCAAGATTACTTCTAATACGGCTCCTTACCTTGAAATTAATCACATTTTGTTATGAACTCACTTAATATAATGTGTAACACACAACAAGAACAATCAATGTGAAGAACATAATGCAATTTCTTTACTATTACTCAAATGTTTTGTCGTTTACTGACTACCATAGTATCTTACTAAAAGTGGAGCACACTGCACAAAATCACATGGAAGCCATAGAAGATCACTTCCAATATGAAGTGCAACAAGGAAAGAAACACTATGCACCCCTATAGCAATCCAAGTATAAAACAACATATAATAGATGCAAGCTCAGGGAAAATAGCCAAGAAAAAACTAGTAGAAGGATGTCATAACGATAATTAAACAAGAACCCCTACATATCCAAACTTGAATAAAATTAGGTGAACAAAAATCTAGTTGCAATTAAGAGACATACATGTTAAGCCCATCAAGGAATAAATTTGCTTCAAGTGAGAGTAATTGTTGTAGATAAAGAAGCGTAGTCAATAACTATTTACAAATTTACCCTCTAATAGAGATTAAAGACAAATTAATTACCTCATATGTTAACTCCACATTTTGTTCAATCTTATCAAGTGCCAGTAGTACCTACAAATCACCACACACGATTATTAACGCATACACACCACAAGGGTATTAATGTATTTTGGACAGAATGAGAGAAATTACATTTGCAATACCATCAATGTTATAACTCTGTGTTCCATTTTGATTCACGGTCAAACAACAAGATGATCTAAAGAAGTAACAGAAGTTTCTTCTAAAGATGAAATTGTTTTAGCATGTGAAGTATCAGGATGATCTGAAGATGAAAGTGCTAACAGAGAAATAAGATGATGAGTTTTGTTGATAACTTGCAACTTTAGACCCACCGTGTCCAACATGACCTGGTAGAAAGGATGTAAATTTTTTTAAATGATTCATGTATTTGAATGACAACTTGCTCGATTTTGTTGACAACTTCAAGAGAAATACGATGTTCTATCAGGTCTCAAAAGATAAATGCAAGAAAAAATAGTTTGTGCCAATGAATGACCCTTATGCCAAGTCGCCTACCAAACAATTAGAAGACCAAAATACCCTCATTATATGAATTAGCTTTAGATCACATGAATAAAGCTGCAGGAGTTGGAATATTAAAAAGTACCTCACATGCAAGCATATGATCCATGACATCGATCATACAATGAACATCTAAAGTTTTGTTAAGGCTCAACGGCATAGGTGTAGCACCGTCTTCAATGGCTTCATCAACTGGATTTTGATTTCGCCATAGTGGTTCAAACCCGCATTTTGATTTCGCCACAACCACCACAATGGTTTTGACTCTCGATTGAGTATAGGGAATGAACTAAACAAGAGGCATCAAACAACCCTAGGAGTGAAATTAAAGAACCCGTGAAGATTTTAGTGGATAGGTGAAGAGCGATTTTAATGAAGAAATAAAGAGTTGGGGAGGGGACGATATCAATTTCTAACTGAAAAGAAAAATCTAATTGAAACGATGAAGCTATTAAGGTAGAGGCCAGAGAGGTGAGGCGGGACGCAGTCACAGGTGTGGTGGAAGAGTCACAGTCGTAGTCACTAGTGCGATGGAGGAGTCGCAGACCCAATTGAGAGTGAAACGATTCTGTTATAAGCATTAGCTTATTGTTTGTTGATTTGTAATTAGGAGAGCCTGACGTCGTCGGAGGAGAAGTGACCAAAGGAGGAGCAAGGTGAATCGTCCATAGTTTTAGAGCTCAGAGAGAAGCGAGAGTATTTTTGTTCTTGAAAAAAAAAACCTAGCTAAAATGGTCACAACGATTTTGTGGAGTTTAGTATTTGGTGATGTTGAGATTTTGTTGTGCGAGAAAGGAGAAGTGGTGATGATATTAGGGTTTCTTGGGGTATTGATCAGTGAGAGAGAATAACGATGGAAATAATGCAGATGATAAAATGACGGCCTTTCAAACTTTTGGGATTTTCATTTCCCCTCAAGCTGCGAAAGAAGAAAACGCGCGTTTCACTAATTTTAGTGCATGCAAAAATGTGTGTCCTCTATCCTTCATTTTTTTAAAACGGACATTATTTTTAGGACACACAAAAAATACATATCGTAAATTACTGCGTGGCATTAAAGAGAAATTTTCTAGTAGTGATAGTTATAGTTTAGTATATTACATTTCACTAAAATTCAACAATAGGCATGAAAAATGAAAAAACATTTGACTAATACTAGTTTATAGTCATGTTTTAATATACAACATGCTACTAAAAGTCAACAATAACCATAACAACTTAAAAAACATGTGACTAATACTAGTTTATGGTATGTTTTACTATCTGAAGTGCCATTACAAGTTACCAATAGTCATGAAACAAAACAACTTATGAGGAAAAGTAGTTTATGGTGATGGTTATCAAAAAATGATTGGCAAAACTAAAAACATTGGTACCCTATGGTGATGGGTTTTACATATAGTAACCGTTTCTATGGGTTCCAACCACCACAATTAAATGTTACCAGAACTTATATTTAATGATGCGACTTTTCCTTTTATACCGAATAAAAACAAAACCTGTCTTAACATGTCTATATTGAAAAGTTTTTTGGGTGGCCAAAGACCAGTTTTATACTAGTAAAGTTAAATTTACATGATTATCTAAACTAATTATTTAACGTCGAACAATATATCATATAATATTTAATAGAAAGGTAAATATGTTACCCACAACCGTAGCATCAATCTGCTGTTTTTCTTCATCAGCCATCGTTAAACATCTCCACCATAAAAAACAATCTTCGCCATCAGCCACCTTCTAGCGTTGCCACATTTATTGGTTTTAAATCTAATAATCAGAGAGATAGAGAGAGTTGAATAAATAGATTTTGCTTTGTAATCTTAAAGTTAATAATTTTTTTTTCTTAATTTTTTGTAGATATAAAGATGGATTCATACTTTGTAATCTTGATCTGAATAATATTTGATCTCTAATTTTGGTATGGTATTTTTTTGCTTCTTGTTTTATGATTTTTAAGAAGCAAATGCAGAATAACATGCCAACGATAAAGATACGAACAAGATAATCATAGTATCTTGCAGTCAAAAAAACTTTTATTAGAAAAATAATAATAATAATAATGGCGACACCAATAAAGCGACACTTGGCAACAGGGGCAACAACGATAACGATGATTTTTGAACAATAATGGCGACGCTAATAGCATGGACATGTCGCCCGTATTGGTGTCGCTGTTATTTTTAATTATTATTTTTTTAATAAACATTTTTTACCGTATGATACTATAATCATCGTGTTCATCAATAGCCACGACACATATAGTGTTGATTTTTAAGGACTTTAGTGGCGACAAATATCATCCATATTGCCTTTATTTATTGTAGTGTTATTATAATATCAAATCATAATAATATGTAAATTTTTGTACAGACAAAGGAAGTATCCTAAGAGATCACTAGTGTTGAAAGATGAGGGTGCATATCTTTGATTTAATTAAAAACAACCATTAAATTCAGATTTCAAAACATGACAAATACCTAGTCATTATCACCAAGTTTTTTACACACTAACAAGATTAATCCTTTCTTAGGTTAACTTTCACCTTCTATATTTAGTCTTTATGGAAATCATTATAACCATAAAAAAGTCAACAAAATAGTCACATAGCCAACTACATAATCATCATTATCATCAAATGGATCATTTTTTTTTTTCATTTGTCGTTCATGTGAAGAGACAAAGAGGGAGGGGAAGATGAGGTAATAATACATTTTCCATTTAGCTTATCAAATTGTTTTTACCAACACTTATTATTTTTTCAGTTTGTTTATCGACTATCAACTAGTTTATTTTAAAAAAAAACTAACATTCGAACTAATTAGTAGAACTTATGATTGTCGTGTGGAAATCGTGTGCCTCAATGGGGTGCACAAATGGGATTAAAAGTAATGACATCCACAAGAAAATTCAAGCAGCCTTTCATCATACACTAATATGAGGCCATAAGCACCTGAGACTATATAAAAACTTTTACTATTTAATTGATGGGCCAGGGGTGCTCACTTCACCCATGCGCACACATTAGTAGACCCCATGATGTAAGATTATAAAATTTATATACATCTTTCTAAAAAGATTGCCACCTCTTTAGAGAATCCAAGTTCTAGATTAGTTAAGGCAAATGCTAAGAATTTCATAAAAAGAAACTATCTTTTTATACTTCTAGCACTACCACTTATGGTGGGGTGTAAATTGAATTGTGATAAAATTTATGGGGTTGGGGTTAAATCAGGTACCCTTCTTGTGGGACGTGGTCCGTAACTTAAGGGAACTGTTCTTATCATTTCAATCTTACTTTTCAATGATACCCTTTGTCTTGAACACTTGTGGAAGACTGAAAGTTATCAATGGCATCAAGGGTAAAATGGTAATACAAGGAGTTAAAGTTATCTCAAATCATTTATTTCAGACCTTTTACAATCCACATATTCCCTCTAATATGTTTTAAGTTAAAGCAACTGATATTGTCAATGGTAAAATGGAAATTTAACTGAATCATTTGAGTAGAGCAATTAGAGGAAAAAATGGAACATGGCATGAACAATTGAAGGACAAGACAAGAAAGAGTAGTCTTATTCTGTCTTATGATATTTTTCACTACTTAATCTAATCAAGTATATGGTTTAACAGGAAGGGCATTTTAGTCCATTGAAGTTGATTTTCATATGCATGACTATAGTTATTCATTAATGATTATTTACAAGTACCTTCTGTTAGTATTACTTTTTTACTATGTCCAATGAATTTGTCATTGATTACAGCCTATAACCGCATCATAAGAGATAGTGATTCCTAAATATATGCAGTAAAAATATGTATATATTTTATTATAGAATATTTTGCTAGCAAAATGGTCTTAAATTTCCTTTCTTTTTTTAAGCATTCACATCCTATCCACAATAAAAATAGTACCCTCAACATTGGCCAAAAGAAAATGTCTGGCGAAATCATGTAATTGTTGGCCATTTCATCACCATAAAGGGACACATACCTTGAAAAAAATCAAAAGTGTATGACTTACATGAAGCTAGTACAATACAATGGTGGATTCATAAAATATTTTAAATAATGTCACATTGTACATAAATTAGGACATACAACACTTTTTGAGAGAAAATATGAAAAATTGACTAATTAGTCCAACAAATTTTCCAATCAGTATAAAAACATCAATCATGTTTTATCTGTTCAATAAAACCCAACGAAATTAACATTTTATCTAAAAAGTCAAACTAAGTTATATTTTTGTTCAATTCTATTGAAATCATAGAAGAAAAACTAATGATGTGGCTTATTACAATATCAAGAAAATAACTTATAAAACCAACAAATTTTCTAAACCGTTTAAAAAACATCAATCATGTTTGGCCTGTTAAAAAAAAACCTAATAAATTTAACTTTTTGAACAAACAACACATTATTTGAGTTTTCTTAATGGTTTGAAAACTTTATTAAATTTTTTTATACAAAATGTTAAGTTGATTATGTTGTCTTGAACAGATAAAACATCATTGATGTTTTTTGAACTGTTTGACAACTTCGTTGGACGTGTAAGTCATTTTGCCAACAAAATATTAATGACATTGAATTTTGTTTATAAAAAAAGCTTAAATTTTTAAGTTTTTTTGTGGTGCATGCCCTTATGAAATGTTGAAGTTTTAATAGATATAAAAAGGTGGGGTCACTTTTAGTGGTATATAAGCCTCGGATTCAAGGATCGTATATTTTTTTAACTTTACACGACATTGTAATTTACCTACCACATGTTGACCATGAGACGATTAGTGGGGGCACCAAGAAGTGGCGTAATGCGTTATACGTATACCCTATTTTAACAGTACATCATCAAGAACTACCCTACTATCGACAATCAAGGTGCCATATGCGACTACTATGACATGGTAATGGTGGGACCCACACAACCTTTTCAAATACTATAAAAAGTCCTTACCTCATCTTCTACTTCACCTTGTAAAAACTTCCAACTTACCAAAATTTGTCGTATAAAATATTATAAACAAACATGCAACCCGATGAGAATTCCCACTACCTTTACATTCCAAACCCTAATCCAGACACAACAATCTTACCCATGAACCTCCAAAACTCACCAATTCTTCAATTCAACATCAACACACCCTCAAATTACCCCTTCTACAATCATCACATACACCCTCAATATCAAGAAATTAGCCCTTATTTTTCTGATGAAGCAGATGATCAACAACAGATAAACCTCATCAATGAAAGGAAGCAAAGGCGAATGATATCTAATCGAGAGTCAGCACGTAGGTCCCGCATGCGAAAACAGAAGCATTTAGATGAACTTTGGTCGCAGGTGATTTGGCTTCGTGATGAAAATCATCAACTTGTTGACAAATTGAATAAATTCTCAGGGACTCATGATCAGGTTTTACAAGAGAATGCTCAGCTTAAAGAGGAAGCTTCCGAACTTCGTGAAATGGTCAACAAGTTGCAGCTTAATGGCACTTACCCTAGTTTGATAGACCTAGATGATATTAATAGTAACATGCTTTACCTTAGAAATGAATCTTTAAACCCTTCTATCTCAAGTTCT